AATTAATATTTTAATATTTTAATGTTTATAATAATTTTTATCTTTGAAAATATAACAATATTATAATATAAATATTTATTGACGTAGTAATAAAAATATTTCTTTTTACCTTTATAATATAGTAAATTTTTCAGATTTTTTTTAAATTTGTAAATTTTTGGCTTTTGGAAAAATTAAAAAAAAATCAATTATAACATATCCCAAAATTGACTGCCACATGCCTTCTCCCTGCAACACGCTTTCTCTGTCTACTCTTGACAAGTCATGTACTTTTCTCTGTTGCCTTCATATTTTGCATCATGTTTCATCTTTTCATCATTTTTGTTATGCTCTTAGTAGCTTCTCACAGATTGTCACCGGATATGGACTCCTTCACTCTTCTGCTCGGTAAATTTTCTTTCCATTTTTTATTTTCTACTCACTCCTTTACGTGTTTCCCATTCCTCTTTTTTTTCTCCCTCTTCTCCTCAATTTCCGGGTGAATTTTTCTTTCTCCTTTGCTTGCAAACCCATTGTAGGAGCTTGAGTTTGCAGTATCCGATGTTGATGACCTTTGGGTGAGGGTGGTTGACACTCTCATATAATAGCAAGGAGTGCTTCTAGAGCAGAACCTGCAGGTAAATCCAAGTATTCCTCATATTTTTATTTTTCCTTTTATTTTAATGTATTTTATTGTTCTGTGATGGGTTTTCCTTGCTAAACGAAGTGTTTTTAAAATTCCTCACAAAACAGGCTGAACGTTTATATATTCAACTGTCAGGTGTTCATCATCCATTCTCAAAGCTTACGTTTCTGTTACATATTATGTACTATAAAGTCAATTCAAATCCTCCATTGTTTATTTTTAAATACTGGGTTTTTATTCTTTTTCTGGTCTGAGTTACAGTGGGGTAGGTTTAGTGGCATATGTTGATGCAGGAACTTATTCCTAAAAAGACTGGGCTACTTCTCATTTTGTCGTCTCATTAGTTGCCCGCAGGGAGGCACATGAATGTTTTCATGAACAATGTCTTTGGTTCAAAGGTAATTACGGCTCAATAGTGCATTCATCCTAATATTCTGTCTTCCAGTATGATTAGTTTTCTGCATTTTTTCTGGTACAATTATCTTTTTACAGTGTCTTGCTTCATTTTTTATGAAACTATCTAAGTTCATCTATCATAAAGCAGGAATAGAATAAGGTGTATTTTGCTTGGATATTGTGTTGTGAAGCTATAGGTTGAACATCAAACTGGTATGGTGATTCAATTTGCTTTGGTGAAGAGAGATCAAGGTTAACTCTCTTTCTGCTCTCATATCAGTATTTTCATATTTGTTGTTTTCCTTCTTTATATTCATCCAATTTTGTTTAATGTCATAGAAGGTTTACTTGCTATTGTATGATGGATGCTATTTTGTTTTGTGAAGGTTTGGTGTTAATTGTCACAAAGAGTGTATACAATCTAATTCGTTAATATCTGCAGTTTTAATGGTGCCTTTGTGGGCTTCATACTTTCAATTTAAGAATAGTGGTGTATTTTTTTTCCCTCACATGAGACATCACCCTTACCATAGTGTTTGTTTTTTATTTCCCTCCAAATTGGATTAGTATTGATTTGCTTCCCATCCTTACTATAGTGCATGGTTCTTGAATCAGACCATTTGGTGTTTTGTTGGAATTTGTTAAGGTGTTCTAAATATCAAAATCAAACTCACCCCTTGCAAGTTATAAGGATTTTGGTATGGAATTTGGATTTTAAATCCAATAGTGTATATTATCTAAGTATGAGATTTGATACTCAATGGAGTATGTGGTTTATCTATTTAATAAACTCTTTTAATGAGCTATGTGGTTTGAGGTGGTATGTCGAAGACCCAGGAGTTACCAAGGTCAGAGCTCATTTGTGGTATTTTGTTGCTCTTTTTGTGAGCATTATTGTTCTCTTGTATTCTTAACATTTTTGTGTTATTTTGGCCTAATGTAAGTTTGCAATTAAGGTCTCCTTTGTGAAATGTTAGACTGGAACTGGCAGGATCAGTGCTGCTTGAGGAAATCGATTTGTTGGGGTGGAGATGGAAGAATTTCAGAGTTTTCAACAAACATGATAATATAATATTCTTAATGCCTCTTTGAATAAATGTTTATGTTCAAGATCAGGCCAAGGCATCGTTTCTTTTATATTGGAGTATCTTCTTTAAATAGGTCTCAGGAAGAGAGAAGAAAAAGGAGATCCAAAAGTATGAAGGATGAAAGTAGTTAAAATAGTAAGACCATTCAGTCTCCTTGATTGTATATAGGCTCATAAGGTATATTCATATTCAAATCAAGGAACCATAGGCAGCAATCATAACCATGGTATTGTCTTGAAAGAATCCCTTCTAGAGCTTTGCAAAAGAAAATCACGTCACAATAAAGACATGAATGTTGTCCAAGTGAATTCGGAGGCATTTGGCAGGTTGAATTGTGCACAGGGCCTTTGACCATTGGGTTATATTTTGTTGCCTTCATGACATCCTTTTGGGGAGCCGCAGTAATAATTGGGGAAAAAAAGGAAAAAAATTTTTTACAGGTTTTTTTTTAGGGAAATATTGTCTCTGGCTTTGTACATAGCGTACTTTTCTATGTGCAAGACTAATTTACTTTTCCTAAAAATACAAAAAACTTGCAAGCAAATAAATGCTATACTTTTGCATAACAATGCAATCTAAAATGCCATTCCAAAATAAAAGTGTTTGGGCAAAAATTTTGAAATTATCAGGTTTTTTGGGGGGGGGGGGAAGGCCATGTACCAATGTATAATCATATGAGGTTGGAAAAGAGATGCTTTGATTTATCGTAGGCAAAACAGAAAGGGTTTGTTTGTATTAATGATAAAAAAAAGTAACTTATTTTTAATTTAATTTTTAAAAAAATAAGATCAGGTAATGTGATTTGTGTTTGGATTGGTTTTTATAAAAGTTAGTTTGAAAAATTTAAAAGTTGTTAGATTATGATTGAATAAGTAAGTTTAGTTTATAAAATAACTAAAATAAGTATGACTTTTATTGAATAATTAAAAATATGAATTTACAAAATATAATAATTTTAAATTATTATCATAGAAAAAAGTTATATTTAATGAATAAAATATATTTAAATTATAAATAATGTGAAAAATTTTGAACTAAATAATATTACATAATTAATTGGATAATATACATAATTTATGTAAGTATAAAGTAAAAAATAATATTAAAAATTAAAAATATTATAAAAAAGTGAAAATTAAAAATAAATAAGTAAAAATTGATTGGGAAGCACAAAAAAAAATATAAAAAAAGGCATAAGAACAACATACATATAAGGGCAAAAAATATCGTTTAATTTCTAAAAACTGATTTTACATAAGTCATAAGTAAATTTTAGATATTTTCACAATCGTATTTAAAAAAAGCAGTTTTTAATTTATAAGTCAAATTGATCAAAAGCTATGACAAATATCTCTCAAATTTGCAAATTGACTTGTCATATTTATAAGCTACTTTTTCCTCCTCAAAACGCCTCACCGAACAAGCTGAAAATTGGCTTGTGACAAAGTCACAATTGTTACGGTATGTACTACTTATAAATAGAGGAGGCAATTTCAATATCATTATTTATATATAGAAGTGTGTTATAATGTGTTGATACTTTTGTGATAAATTAAAATTATTGATTATATTGATTGAAGTGAACTATGGGGTATCTATGCTTGTTTTATAAGAAAAACTTTAAAATATATTAACTCTTCATTAAAACATAATAATTTTCTAACTTTATCTCTATTTAATAGACACACTTTTAAAAATAGATAACTATTTACGTTGTAATAAATAAAAGATGAAAGGTAAATTCATGTTAAAAATTTAATAAAATAACTTATAAATAGATTAAAAATTTTCTCTTTCTCTGTTCTATAAATAAGACCAGAAGAGTACGATTTCCAACTCCACAATGCTAACAATGAGCCAAATCTCCACCAACATCTTGATCATCGGCAGACTGGGATGTGGCCCGAGACGATTGATGGAGGCGAACTTCTGGTTGCTTTCCCTCACCACGGCGAAACATTGAGAGAAAGAGAAAGGAGAAGATGAAGGCGCATAATTAATTTCTCTTTTAGTATTTCACATTTTAACAAGGATTAATTAAGGCCTTTTTCAGTCTCATTCATAAACTGAAACCCAAGATATTTGTTAAAACTTTTAACCAGTTTGCCTTGCTCATCTCATGTTACATCGTTATTATATTAATTAGATATATGGATGTCCTTCTTGTCCTTTAACTTTTATAAGCTACAATTTTTAGAATCAATATGATTTTTTCTTATAAGTTACACTTTGAAAACAAATGAACATTGTTTAATGTAACCTTTGTCATTTTTACCCCAATTGATTAACAGGGGCCAAGCCCAATACAAAAATAAAGCATCTATTAGCCTATTCTTTCTAAGGCCATTTCCTTCTAAATCTTCTTGCAATAGCCCAGTAAGTTCCATGGGGGGACTATTCCAGACTCTTCTTTCTTCCTTCTGGTTCAGGCTCATCTTTGCTAATCTATCAGCACACCAGTTCCCTTCTCTCGGTAAACATGTTGCCAGCTAATGTTCCAATCTTCCATCTGTAGTTCTTCGATTTTTTGAGCTAGTATATAACATCCCCGATATTCTTGCTCCTGCATTGAGTTCCTCTATATGTGTGCTTTTTTCATTCATATTTTTCTTAATATTTTCCTTTATTCATATAGCTGCACGTGAGGTTTTACTTCTGCTACTCCATTAAAGAAAGGTAAATAGATGTGCCACCGAAATTCAGCAACTGAATAATAATCTTATATTGCACGAGTTTCAGAGCCTCTCTTTGTTTCAAACGGAGCTAAGATCGATGAAAGAGCAGGAACCCTCCCTTGATTCTAGGTCCAATCCTTAAGCCCTAAGCCAAAGCAACAACCCTCCGTATCGGTTGAAGAAAGAGAAAACAGAAAAAAGAGAAAACACTAGCAACTAAATTCCACTACTGCCTAAATCATAAAAAACCAGCAGATCATCAGGCAACAGCTTTTGGAGGTCCTCCGGGGTTAGTTGCCAGAAACGCTTTGTCTCAAGTTGTTCCCAACCTATTGTAGCCATTCTGTCAGCACAGTAATTGCCCTCTCTGTACACATGGTTGATCTGAACCTGCCACTCTAGATTTAACATTTCATGAATGCTAGCAAACGTGTTGTAGTTACCTTCAATATTTCTTTTGTACTTTATAGCTTCCCCAATTAACTTTGCATCGCTCTCTACTTCTATTTTCCTGAATCCCATCTTCCAGCAAAGTTCCAATCCCTCCAAGATACCCCTTGCTTTTGCCTCACCTACGGTGCATTCTGCTATTCTCATTGTGAATCCTCCAAGCCATTCGCCACTGTCTCCTCTGATCACTGCACCACACCCGTTCCAGCCGTTCCTTGCTCCAGTTCCATTAGTATTTAGTTTACACTAGCCTGATCTTGGTGGCTGCCAAGTCCTATTGATCACACATGCTTCAGCCATATCCCACATATTCCCCCCCCCCCCCCAATTTATGGTGGTAGTTGTCTAGATACCTTTGAATTATTTCCTCTGGCTTGAACGGTAGTTCAAAGTCCTGATTGTGGACCCATAGGTTCTGCCATTTCCAGATTTGCTAGCATCCCATTGCAAATAACTCAGCCCATCTTATTTTTTCTGAGACCTTATCCTTTCTATTGCTATTTTTTTCAAGCCACTCTGTCCAGTCTTGACCAAAGGAGTTAACTCTCTTCTCACATGGTACTAGTTGTCTCCAAATGTGTGTTGCGTAGGGACAATCTCGGAGTGCATGGAGTATCGTCTCTTTTTCCTTATTGTAGACTGGGCACCACCTTTGTCCCCTATCCCATTTGCTAGTCAGGACCTACGTTGGTAGTCTATTGTGCATAGCTCTCCACATGAAGATTCTCATTCTCTCAGGGATTTTGAGTTTCCATATCCTCTCCCATTGATTCCATCCCGCTCTTTCTTGCCTTCCTTTGATCTACTTATACGCACTTACTATTGAGAACTCCCTATTACTAGTGAGTTTCCATTTGCATTCAGCTTCTGGATGTTGCTCCCTCGTCTGTCCTGCTTCAATATTCATGACAAATTTCTCCCACAACTTGCCTAATTCCTTCCACAACCTTGAGTCAGTTTGTTTTGTAAATATTTGCTCACCTTGTCCTCTTTCTCTATCGTATTTTCCTTTTAGTACCTGAACCTAAAGAGAGTTAGGTTCTTGAATGAATCTCCATAGAAAATTGAGTAGAAAGGCATCATTCATAGCCTTGAGGGACCTGATACCTAGCCCACCTTCTTCCTTCTGTCTACAAAGAGTTTCCCAATTCAGAGCATGCCATTTATGGGAGTTCTCATCCTCCCCCCAGATAAATCACCTTTCTCCTTTCTCCATTTCTTCAATAATTGACAATGGGATCCGATCATGCTGCATTGGATAGAGGGCCATAGAACTCGTAACTGATTTAACCAATGTTACTCTTCCTGCCAATGATAGACTTGCTGCTTTCCATCCACTCAACTTTCTTTGTAGCTTCTCCTTTTCAGTAATGATATATCAGCTCCAAGATATTTTCCTAAGTCCTCCACTTGCTTGAAATTACTATATTGACATATGCTCCTCCGCGTGTGCTACGTGACATTAGGTGAGAAATAGATACAGGACTTTTTTTGACTCACTTTCTGACCTGAGCTCTCACCAAATTCCTGCAAACAATTAGTTATAATTTCTACCTAGGTTAAGTCCACCTCTTTATAAAGAACAAGATCATCAGCAAACATCATATGTGATATGATCGGCCCTTTACGGCCAGCTCTCAGTCCTCTCTCTACTGTTTCTCTCTCACTCTATCCGGGATTGTAGTGTGAGTTTTTCCATTCTAAGTATAAAGAGATAGGGGGAGACGGGATCTCCTCATCTAATGCCTCTGCTAGTATGAAATCCTTCTAGTTTTTCTCCACGCCAAAGAATGTTGGTGGAATCCACATTGATGCATCCCAAAATTCTCCTTGTAGTTTCAATAGGGCACTTCAGTTCCTTCAAGATTTGTTCAATGAACTCCCAACTCATTCTATCATAAGCCTTTTCTAAATCCACCTTGATAGCCATAAAGCCTTTTTTCCCTTTTTTCCTCTGCATTGATTGTATCATTTCATTCACAATGATGATGTTATCGTTAATATTCCTGCCTGGAACAAAGCTGACTTGATAGGGGGACACAATGTCAAGTAGAATCAATTTCAGTCTTCTTACCAAAAATCTTGGACAAACATTTATACAACACATTACACAAGAAAATAGGTCTAAATTAGGAGACTTTCTCAGGATTCCCAACCTTAGGAATAAGAGTAATTAAAGTTGCATTAATCTGTTTCAATTCCTCAGGTTTCTCCCACAGCTTAAGGATAGTCTTGCAAACTTCTTCTCCCACTATATCCCAATATTTATGGAAGAAAACTGCTAGAAATCCATCTTCCCCTGGTGCTTTAAGACCCCCTATGGAAAACATAGCTTCTCTGATTTCTTCAGAAGAGATCTTGCCATTTACAATACCCCAGTCTTCATTCTTTATCTCTGGCTAGCGGTGCACAATATTAAACCATTTTTGGTTACTCTCCTCTTCCCGAAATAATTGTTGGAAATAGTCATTAATTAATTTTCCTGTTTCTTGTTTTCCTTCAACTCTTTCGTTGCTGTCATCTGTTAAGCTGGATACTCTATTTCGCCGTCTTCTAATGTTGGTTTTGGTATGATAATAGGATGTATTCCTATCACCATTATTCAACCATTTGATTCGGGCTTTTTAGAAGAAAAAAACTTCTTCCTGCTTAAGAATTTCTACCAGCTCCTTCTGAAGTTTCCTCTCAAGGTCTCCAGGTACTCATTGTCCCTTTCACCGTTAGCTCTTTGTATTCCATTTATTCTTCTGACCAGTTTATTTTTCTTTTTAGTAACATGGCCAAACACAGTATGATTCCACTCAGTTAGAAAAGGTTTCAATTCTTCCAATTCCTGATGTGCTTCCCTCCCTTTTTGCCATTTACGACTTAGGTATTGTTTAAAATCGGCATGCCTCAACTACATTGCTTCAAATTTGAATGGACGGCAGGTTCTATTACCTTGGGGTTGTTTAAGATAAATGAATGGGAGTGGTGGTCTAATTCCACCCTTGGGCCCATTCTCACATGGGCTTTGCAAAACTCATTTCTCTATGTAGAATTACACAAGGCTTTATTGAGTCTCTTGAAAATTCTCTCTGCTGTGGCTACCAAAAGGCCTCGCCAGGTGAAACGTGGTCCCTCAGATCCCATGTTGATTAGCTGGCATCTGTTAATGTTATTATAGAATCGTTTGCACTTTCTTTCACATGGTTCACGTCCCCCTCGTTGTTCATCCCGCGTTTTAATATCACTAAAATCCCCTCCCACAAGCCACGGACCCTGTACCTTATTGGAAATACTTTCTAAATTTTCCCCCAAGTCCTTTCTCTCTGCTTCCCTGGGACTAGCATAGACTGCGGTGAAGTACCGGCTTTTTTCACTAATTCCACTTATCAGGCCATGAAGGTGTTGCTTACTATTTTCCAGGAACTGAAATTTAACGCAGTCATTGTTCCATAGTAACCAAATCCCCCCGTACATGCCTTGCACTTCTACAACATGACTTCTCCTGAATCCCAATCTTTTAATAACCTTCCAGGCTATTTCACCACTACATCTTGTTTCCACTAGCACTACCAGAACTGGTTTCATTCTTCTTACCAAATCTTTTAAGGCATAACCAAATTTATTTTCCAGTAGCCCCTCAGACATTCCAAACAACTATCATTAAGCAAAGGAGTAAAAAGGAAACAGTCATAGACATAGACCTTACAAGCCCATGCACTAGCTTCTCTGCTCCTCTACAATCTCAAGGATTGATTGGCATTGGGCTTTTAACAATTGCTCCATGCTGATAAGCCCATTACTCCCCCTACCTCTTCAGGGTCGGGTGGTTTACTTTCCTCCAAGTCTATGCAATCAGTTTCTTTTTCCATCATACCTAAATGTTCTGGCCCTCCTTTGTTTTCTTTAAGATTGGACATTTGCTTATTTTCTGGGCCCATTTCTCTGACTTCTATCAAGATCGGTTGGGGATTCCTATTCATGGGTTGCTGACAGTTATTTCTTGAGGTCCTCGGCCCATTAACATTTTCTTGCTAGATCCCCTCTTTCATTTCATTTTGCCCTGCTTTTGTATGCCCATCCCCCCTTGTTATTTCTATTAATTTTTGCCTCCTTTTTCTCCTTGTTTTTCACTCCAGCTGCTATCCCCTCCTCTGCCATTATCTCTTTCTTTTTCTCGAAGCAAGACCCTGTTATCCTTGTCACCTCTTTCTCCCCTAACACCTTAGTCAGTTCCTTCTTTCCACTTTTCAGTTTCTCCCCTGCTCTTTTTTCTACTCCTGCTTCTTGATTTGTATTAGTTATATCAAGAAGAGGTCTATCTCCTACCAACCTACTTGTTTCTTTTTCCATTTTTTCCTCCTCAACCACCAAAACCTCAAATCTCGTATGACTGGCCAGAGCCTTTCCCCCTCTAACATCTTTCTTCATCACGCCCCCTACTCTATTATCCCTAGTGACATTTTTTTGACCTCTTTTCAGTAGATGTGCAACCATCCAATCGCTGAATGGGTTGGCTGGCTCTTCCATCGACGGTGACCTTTTCGGTGCTTCATCATTGTTTCAGTAATTTTTCCCCTTGGTTCCTGACCGAATCTCCTTCTATATGATTCACTTTCAAAGGGCACCTCTTTGTACCATGACCAAACTTTCCACAATTGAAGCAAATCATATGTAACCCTTCATATTCTATTTTCAACCAGTTTTTGTCAACTAGGTACTACGGTAGCAGTGGAGCATTCAGATCAATCTCTACACACATATGAGCGAACATGGTTCTTGCTCTTGGGAGTGTCATTTCATCCACCCTTATTGCTTTACCAATCCTGTTCCCTAGATTGAAGAAAAACTTCTTGTCATAGTAGTCACCAGGGAGGCCTGGTAGTCTCACCCAAACCGCGAGTCTCTGTATCTTCTCACTCCAGGGATTGAAATTCCATTTCCAAACTTGCATTGTTAGATAGTGGTTTTGAATGAGCCAGGGACCGCCTTCGGGTGCGAAATAGTAATCATCTATCGCTTGGAATGATGCTGTCAGGAAACCATTGCTAATGTCATTGATATCAACCCTCCCGGCTTTTCCCCACATCAATTGGAGTTTTCTTCTCATTTGCATAAATTCCAGTGATCCTCCTAATAGTTTTATGATGAGTGTGTTCTCT